TTTTAACACAGCTGACTATTGTCAAGCTTTTTCTTATTTTTTCTAACATTACTTTCTTTAAACCTTTTTTTAATGCAGTTTTAGTGTTTAGTAAAATGTTTTATTTCAAGACAGATCACTATACAATTCAATAATTGAACTGAACTGATCTGTCAAGAAATGTCACTCCTACATGTTCAGCAAGCATAGAGATGTGCTGTTACTTTTATACAGCATTCACAAAAATAACACATAGTGAACATGAGGGAGAAGGAGCGGCTTTACATTAAACTGAGTAATCACCATCCAAAAACATCAGCCAGATAAAGAACAAATGGCACTGAGGTAGCACACACAGGCTTACATGCACAATAAGTCTGTCATTTTACAGACAAACGTTTATAAGAGGTTTCTCACATTTTTTTACTATCTGGCTGACAGATATAGTTAAAGAGAAATTGTAGGATTACTTGCATCTTTATCTTGTTAACACAAAGAATTTAACAACACACCTTGTAAATCATTGGATCTAACCTGAGAGCTGCCCCAAATCACTAATCCCGACTTAATTTATCCCATCGTGCCATTCCTACGAGCTTCAGGCTGTCACGGATAATTCACTACATTTGGAAAATCAAACAAAGCTCCAACATTCCTCCCCCGCTCCTGGTACCACATGCTACCCTCCGAACTGAAATTCAGCCCGGGCACAAAAATATGCAAATGTCTAGGTGGGCTTCAATAACTCATACTGTAGTAGCTGACAGCAAACTAAACTCTGAAGCAATTGAAGACAGTTTGACATACACATGGAAGTTCAGTCCAGGATCAATTTCCTGAAAAGTGTCTCTAAATTGTGAGTCAGCAGCAGGTGAGAGCAGTTTAGAGTAAAAGCACTAAACGAGTTAATATCTTACCGTCAGATGCAAACAAATCCACTTGTGTTGGTCCTATAGCATTCAGTGACATAATATTAACAATAAAATGCTATCTCTATCAAACAAGAGAATTGCAGTCCAGCTGGGCACTGCTTCGCCCTGCAAAAATTCAACAATGTGAACTCACCTTTAATCTTCCAGCTTAAAGACTTAGAATGGTCACAGTTCTGGTCATTTGAATCACATGCTATGGTAATGGGGTGAAAGTAGTGCTGACTGTATCCCTCTAAGCCCATATGGTGCCTGAAATCCAGAGTTTCGGCCACTGGAGTTGGACTTTGGACCTCTTTTGGGTCAACAGAGACTCACTCAGCATACAAAAACTAAGCAGGGACACAGCTCCTGACTAACAGGTGCTGGTATTTACCGAGTCAAATTAATGAGCAAGGTCTTCTGTAGTTAATCATTGCACAGTGAACAGAGATGTGAGGTTACAGTGTGATTTTAGAACTGATTGGGCTTCACTGTGATTAGCTAGTCTCCCTCTCATGGCCACTGTGTGCACACTTAAAGCTTAAAGTTATGGCGCATGAGAAATACAAGCATTAATGCACGATCCTTTGAATGTTTTTTATTTAGTCTCTATAAAATCCTGACTTTTAGGCATTTTACTGCATTTCCAAATACACATCTGAATTTAAAATTTGAGTAACTGAGCACAAACACGACAGTTGTGCTCGTGGTTTTGAGGCTGTGGTTCAACTTAGAGGTGGTTTGAGCTAAAAGCTACCATCTGCATGCTAACATGACAATGCAAACACACTGATGTTAAAGCCACAGTAACTTGTTTCTAATCATTTTTAGTTGTAGAGTAAGTAGAGTAGAGACTGTCTTGCAGTAAGATTACAACAGACGTGATGCCTCCAAACCTGTGGATGTTTCCACCCATTGCATCAGTATTATATTATTATTATGATTGTTAATAATAATAATATTAGAAAGGAAAATATAACAGGGAAAACTAGAAGGACACTCAGAGAGTGCATACCTCCAACAAGGCCCAACAATCCCCTTCTGAAACCACATTAAAATTTTAAATAACAATAAATAATAATAAAAAAAAGATCCAAATTACACACACTCATTACTATCAGTCCTCTAAACAGGACAGTTTCTTTTCCATCAAGATCCATTAATTATTATCTGAGAAGTCGATGAAAATGTTGGAACATTTTCTATCTAACAATGTCAAGAAAGTGTCTTTCCTGACCCATACAACATCCTTCCACCAAGTTCCATGGTTTTCCATCCAGTAGTATTTGCATAATCCTGCAACTAACAAACAGACAGAAACGCAAATAAAAACATAACCTCCTAAGGGGAGGTAATTGCAAATATGTCAAATATCTATGTAGTAAACTGACAAACCCAGGTAAAAACTGAGGATAAAAATATTGCAGTCATGAATTACTAGCAACCTCATACACGTGTGTTTTAAGCATTGATTTAAGCTGAGGCAGCAATTTATCCCTCGGACAGAGCATTCCAGAGCCTGGGGGGTCTAACAGCATTACCTTTGGTTTTAACCAGTTGTTTTTGCAAGATGATCTTAGGCAGCACATTTGAACATAAGGAGAGAGCAGTTCTGAGGTAAAGGGAGGTGCCAATTGCCAAACACACTATGTAATTACTATGTGATTACTACATTATTAGATGAGTAGTCAGTAAACCCACTTTCAAATGTTGCCTTCTTTTTGATCTGAACTACACCCCTGTACAGTTTTGTGACTGTATCCTCCATGATCGTGACGCTGTACAAAACAAACAAACAGATACCTGCTGAAGTAGCATGTGTACGCACATGTACGCACATGTACACACATGTACACACACGCACACACACACACACACGCACGCACGCACACACACACACGCACACACACGCACACACACACACACACACGAAGAAGAAGAATTGTGGAACTGTGCATGGAAGATAAAAACGTACTCTGCTACCCTTCATCAGTGCCAGAAAAAATGATTTTCCATCTTCAAAATTCTGCTTTTAGATATTTCCATTATGAGGAGTGGCAGCTCAAGGCTGTCAATCAATATCTGAATGTGCTTCTGGTCAATTACTCACCTCGCTGATGATGCTATGGCTGAATTGAAAGCTAGCATGCTGCTGTTACCTTGATTACCTGAAAGAGTGCACACAATGACAGCCACCAGCCACTAACATGTCTACAGCAGCAAACTATCTATTGACGCATAAATGAAAAAAAAAAAACAAAGACGAACATGAAAAAGAGGTGTCTCACATGTAGATGAAACCGACAAAGATGTCAACAGAGTTTGTAGTCATCAGCCAAAGCCGGTGTTGATGTGCAGTAAACAAAATCACATGACCTCTGCAGCAGAAATAATACATGACATCCTGCCTGTGTCTCCTGCCTCTCTGCATCTGAGCAGAGAACCCCCTGCTGCCTTATACAAGTGCAGAGGAAAACTGTGGAGAAAGTCTAGACCCAATGCTGCTGTGATCCTCCACAGCACATGTCTGAAAACAGCTTTACACTTGATATCACAGTCATCTTCAATATAATGGATTTGTTTCCGATCACTCACCTTGGTTATGAGCAGTGGCTCTCGATGTTCCAGTCCACCTCTGAGTGTAAATCCCCATGGTGCACCTCCAGAAAGAAATACATCCACCAGCTTCCAGCCCTCACCATCTCTGCTCCTCTGATCCAGGTCTCCCGATTTCTGCATCACGTGCCAAAGGCTCTCAGCTTCCGTATAGTGTAAATCATTTGAATATCCCTCAGCATCCATGATACTGTTACAAAAATAAAGATACTTTTAATGACAGTATTAAACATTATCTAGGCAACACTTAATAATAGGCACATGTTCTAAAAGCCAATGGTGTCCAAATCGGGCTGCACTCCTAGGACTCATTTTCATGGCAAGCCTTTACTATTTTAAATTCTGTCAGGTATATAATCTCTGAGAAATAATGTGGGAGTGAGTTCTGTTTCAGTGATATGCTAATGGTGCTTGCTGTAACTCCTTCTGATATCTAGTGTCCAAACAGCCTAGAGAGAAGACCTATAGTGGGATACTCAGCTGTACTAAATATAATATTACCCCCATTGATTAGAAATTTGAGAATTCATCAAGAATATATTGATTGCTTTCACAGCTCAGGGTTAACTGGCCCCATGTTATTCCATTGGTCTTTCAAGCCTGAACCTGAGTGTGACCTGAAGAGAATACTAAGCGTTTGTCAGTGATTGGAGGAGGCAAACATCATTTAGGGACTCATTTTGGACTGACTGATGAGAAAATATTTAACTGTAAATAGTTCTTTTGATGCCATTTTTTAATTCTGACTTTACTTTCGAGTTTCCTTCATGCATTTTTTTATATGTAATGTCTTCTGTAGACGAGTACACTAATTGTTAGTATTAGCCAAAAATGCGACACAAATGTTTTACATCATTGTAAATCTATCTGAGACATGAAACAACAATTATTAACCATCAATTTTATACCATATTAAGAAATTAACAACGAAAAGAAAAAAGTTCAGAATTCTTAAATGTAGTCTTTTATTTTGCAGAATTGAAAAATAGTTTGGCTTTTGGATGTGATGCCATTATTATTAATTTACCTCTATTCTTTTAGTTCTTTACAATGATCAATACAATGTTTACAACAAAGAAAAGATCTGCATTTATGCTTACATTTTGATTTAAAAAAGATGTACTAGTTATACTAATACTTTCTTTTGTTCACATTCCCTTGTATTGGTGTTTTCTTTTGATTGATAATTATTCAAGGTATAGTTGAAGATTAAACTGTAAATTATACATTACATTTGTTCATCATCAGGATTTGATACGACATCTAAGGAATCCTTCCCAGTCTGTACAACCACACACTAATTTTGGGACTGCAACTCAGGTTCAACTCATCTAACTTTGCAATACTCATTCTGTCAGTGCAATTCAATTCTGTGCTCATGTGCAATCCCTCACACTGTATATACTCATCTGGAGTCCTTACATTGTATATTTGCTGCCCACACTGTGTTTTTTTCATTGTATATAGTATTTATATGCTATTTCTGTTTTTATATCTCCTTACATTTATATTGCATGTTTACTTTTATAACTTTTATTGATGCCCACTTTTTGACAGTTCTCTTTTCTGCTGCTAAACAAATTTCCCCATTGTGATGGGAGATTATTTTATTGTACACATGCATAAATATTTCCATATCGTTCGGGTTCTACAACAATGCATCGTTGTTTCGGGCATCTGAATTCTACTGCTGTGTTTATCAAAGCCGTGGGCCTGCTTCCATCAGGTTACTAAGAACTACAAGCTGTGATATCGAAGATTTCAAAAAAAATCCCACAGGCTTGTAGAGCTAGTCTCCGATAAAGCGCGAAATTTCTGCTCTTAATTTGAAGGGGACAGCGCTTAAGTGCATGAGATGAGTGTGTGAATGCTACATCCCGTGGATCCGATGGTCTGTGTTTACAGGGAATAAAACCACAACTCTAGTTTCACAAATCGGAAACAGTCGGTGATCACCTGTCGTCATACTCCAGCCAGGCTCCCTTCAACTTAAAGCCCTCAAGTGAGAGAGAATGAAACACTAACAATGTCGAGCAGCACAATGGAAACCATCTTCCCCTGCACCGACTGCCAAGTCAACGGAGCGGAGTTACACAGACGTGCTCTTTGACGCAGGTAACCGAGGCTTCGTGAGAAACCAGCGCTTATTGCTAAACAAATGAACAACTCCACTCCACGAGACTTTCCACTTTCTCCACATACACATCCCAGAACACCGGTTCAAACCGCTGACCTTACCTGGAAGTTCCACTCCTGGACAAACCGGTGAACGCGATCGCTTCCTCGGTGATTCTCGCAGCTTTATCGCAGGTTCGGGTTAATACACATACTTGCTCTTTTTCTGCGCGACTACCTCCACTCAGTGGTGAATCGGCTTTTAAACAGCGGGGCAGCTCTGCGACTTGTTTCCGAGAGGAGCTGCGGAGTTTCTCTGCTGTTCGCGAGCAGCAGCAGCAGTAGTCCGGCCCGTGTCCGTGCTGCCTGAACCGAGAGCGACACACTGACACACTCCGGAGAGTTTAAACGAGCTAAGCTAACCTAGCTCCATCCATGGACGCCAGGGACAACAAGTGGAGCAGAACGCAGCGCGAGCGCGCCACCTCGCGTTAGCTGACAACGTGTCCCTTTCAAACTACTTTGCTTCGTGCTCGGATAAATAAACTCACTGTGACTGACTCTAGACATGAGGCTTTAACCAAGATGTCCGGGTTTACACTGTTTTCATCGCCAGTCCGCTAACTATGAACAAATCCGCTAACTATTAACTTCTTCCAGGGGGGGGTCGCACGTTTCCATGACAACCCGTTAACTTAAGGGGCGGCGGCAGGGTCAAATCTAGCGAATTCGCGGAAATGGTTGAGTGGTGAAACGTCACCAGCGATCACACTTTGAGTACTTTACTTTATTTTAGGAACACTAACACACGCGGTGATTGATCACCAGGGCTCGTTGAATAACCTCTTTTTAACTATTTAAAGTATGTTTAAGAACTTGGGACACTGGTTCGGAGTGGAGGGCGAAAATGGCCGAGGTAAACAAGAAGGCGAGATTGTTGTTGGAGCCAGTGAAGACAAGAGCAGTCATGAGATGAACAAAACAAAGGCTGGGGCTGAAAGTGAGCATGCCGAGAAACACGCTGACCCTCATCCACTTCTACAGAAAGCCAAGGGCTTCAGTGGTAAGTGTGACACAGTTCAGTAAAGGTTGTTATTGTAATCTTAGTTGAAAGTGTTTGGTCGCCTTGCTGTAGCATCCATGTAACCTCAGCCACCTGTAGTCATAGATTGTCTTCTTCTGTAGGTTACATCTATAACTTTGCCAGCAGTGCCTCAAAGAATCTGTCTGAGTCCGTGGTTGAAACAGCACAGACATTGAAGAAAAGTGTTGAGGAGGGGAAAATAAATGGAATTATTGATAAGGTAAATATCTCTTGGCGTCTTTTTAACTAGTTATACAGCCTTGTGTTTTTTTTGGGCCTGTCTGATGGAATGTGTTCTTCTCTCAGACCCTTTTGGGTGATTTCCAGAAAGAGCAAGAAAAGTTTGTTCAGGAGAAAAAAGCTAAACAGTCTGGTAAGCTCTAAATAATTAATTCAGCCATTGTCCCAAGTTACTTTCATTAATAGTCACTTAATTGCTCAATGAGGAAAAATGCATTGCATGTAAGTATATTCACATCACAATACTGTAACTACAGACTAGTTTTCATTGTTCCTAGGTGTTGCTGTGCCACCATGGGTTGGTTATAGTGAAGAGGACACTGTACAGCAACAGATTTTAGCTCTCTCCGCAGTTAGTATGATTTCTTATAATTCTTTTGATATTACATTTTTTGTTATCAAGACAAATGTAACTTTTTACTAACATTTCTTTTTTCGACAGGACAAAAGACATTTTTTGCGAGACCCTCCTGCTGGGGTGCAGTTTCACTTTGACTTTGAGCAAATGTATCCAGTCGCCATGGTGATGCTAAAGGAAGACGAGCTCCTCACAAAGATGCGCTTCCATCTGGTCCCCAAACAGTGAGAATGTTTCACGTGCTGCAGATATTAACTTTCTGTGTCCATCATGTGCATCCCTGCATAAGACGGTTTATTTAAAAAAACTAAAATATTTGTATTCCACCACAGAGATGATTATCTATTTCCCTGTTTGTCTTTCTTTTTTAGGGTGAAAGAGGAAGCGTTCTGGAAGAATTACTTCTACCGTGTGTCTTTGATAAAACAATCGGCTCAGCTCACAGCTCTAGCAGCACAACAGGCGGCGGAACGGAGAGATGAGGAGAAAACTGGCGGCAGTCCTGTGGATAGTCGTCAAAAGGGTACAATCTTATTGTGTAATATAAAAAATTGACCTGTCTATAATCTGATGGCTCTTGTCAATGAGAAGATAATTTTAAATAATAGCTTCTTACACACAAATCCAGAAATAATAAATGTTATTGAAAAGGGGAAACGAATAAGTAGTCCATTTGTCCCACAATGGTGACATTTGCAGATGAGGTAAAGCCAAACATTATGTTTTAAATCAAACAGTGAGTTGACAGCAGGAACAATTTGCACACTTGCAATATTAAACACAGTTCTATTCATAATTAATTTCTGTTTTACTCTGCAGCATTGCATGAGAGAACATGAATATCACCTTCTTAAGAGATAATGTCAAAATGATTTTTGCATCTGTAGGTAAAGGGAAAACTCCTCCTGTCATTTGCAGCACCAAACCAAAGTCCAGTGAGGTAAGTCATCTGTTTTCATAGAATAAAATAACAGTATTTGTGTAACGCAATAACTGGACTGAAAGTTGTGTAGCATTCAGATATCCTATTTCTGTAATGACAGGATGAAGAGGAGCTCTCCACCAGCCCACCTGTGTCTGAATTTGTTAGTGATGCTTTTGACTCATGCAACATAAATAAGGACGACTTGCGCAAAGAGATGGAACAGCTGGTTCTGGACAAACAGGAACCTCCAAGCACAACACAGGGTAAATCTTTTTGTTGAACTGGATCATGATGTAATAGTTTCTTGTTACAGTGCTGGTTTAAAGCAACTGCTTAGAGTATGTTCAAGTTTTGATGTGTACTACACATAGACTATATATAAAAAGGTACCACAACATTCAAATGAACTCTAAAAAGAGTGTTGTCATGATGTTTAGAACCAAGGAGGATCTGGAGGTACATTTCCTAATTTTTGTGGCAGACCAAGTCCAAAATGTAGTGAAGTAAAATATCTGGGTCAAATTTTTAGGACTGATTTACATGATGATGCACAAGCCAACATGTTGGCACAAAAATCTTCTATGTGTACAGATGATGTTAAAATAGCACTTTTTATAACCCACTGTACTTCTTTGGTGTAACTATAGTAATGCGGGATTGAAAAAGCTTGTAGTGACACATAATAATGCATTCAGGACTTTGCTCAAGCTGCCTCGAGTGCATGTCACATGTTTGTGGCTGTTGCAATGTCCCCAACTTTCACGCTCTGAGGAATTGTATGTATTAATTAAAGTTTAGATTATCTTACTCAAAAACATGACCAAAAGGGCCTTAACTACATTTATCTTATTTTTGGAAACCGAGGAACACAAGTCTATGTGTGTTTTAATTTCTGTGGACTTGCAAAGTGTGATTGTATTTTATATTTGTGTACTGATATGGACCTACGAGTCTTAAATTAAGTATCTTTTTATTTTTCCATCTTGTTGAGTGACTCAAATTTTGTGTTTGTTTTCTTTTTTTGTAGATGAGACCCCAGACTGGGAAAGAGAGTTGCAGGAGGAACTGAAGGAGTACGACGTGTTGGCTGATAACGAGAACCATGACGACAACTGGGACAAAGAGATTGAGGATATGCTAAAGGAGGACAGCTAGAGCACCGGAGCAAGCTCCTCAGTCTTAACTATCTGAAGGACATCCTTGAGGTCAGAAACAGCACACGACACTTGAGTTTATGCTCCTGGTGAAATCATTAATTGCAATATTGGTCCTCCAAGAGAATGAGAAATACATCTGAATGTTGATAACATTTTAGAGGCCTGAATAGTTTTATGAGTTATTGAGATCTTGTCCTGCACCTCATATTTAAAATGTATGCCTCCATGGTAAATAGAACAGTGACAGTAGCACAAGAAGAAGAGTCATAAAGTCAACAAGCTGACTCAGCAACATCGGTGTGAATAGTTTTTATCTGGCTTTAAAGGAGGGGTTGGTAATCTGTTGAACACTTTTTATCTTATTTTCTTTAACCCGTGAATATGTGAATATGTCCAGGTAACGCATGATTAAATACAGAAGCCAATATGATATCACTTTTTCTATTAGTTTCATACTTGTGAATGAGCTTGGGCATTGTGTATATTATCAAAATGCTACAATATGTGACTGATCATTCTGTCTATGTTTGTTGAGATCAAATGTAATGTCTCCACATGCACACATATAGATGCTGACATAATGTACTCTGGAAACACTCAAGTCCAAACAAGCTTTGTTGTTTTTCTTTCCGTTTTACTTCAAAAATGACTCAGGAAAATAGATCCATACTCTTCTGTTGTGTTTACACTGATGCAAACGGTTCCAGATTTATTAACTATTAACTTGTTGTTTTTAAATACACGTTCTCTTTGTTTTACATTTGTGATTGTACCCTGAATGTGTTTCAAGACATAAAGCATATTAAACCAAAGCACGTGTCTCTCATGCTGGTCGATAGTATCTCAACATGTCGATGTGTCACAACACTCTGCGACACATTTACTCTTTTGTCACCAACCGTCGGTGGTTCTGTCCTAATGCACTGTGAGAAACCTGCGAAGAATTGAAGGAAACGAGCCGTTTGTGACAGCACAGTTCTCTGACCCCAGAGTCCTCTTTATTGCTGAACTTGACAGGAAACACAACCGTTCTCCTTTATCCATTTCAGACACTGTAACAATAAACTACACAATGTAGTATTCTCTGCAGGTAAACACAAGGGCAGTAATGTCCCACACAGGTTGCACTCCATGCACAGTGTAGCTACAGTTTACTTCGCTTTACAGATTCTATCAGTCGCACATCTGAGATACAAAACTGCAAACAGATTCAATTTTACAGTAAAATTCTTCTCATTTGAAGTAAACAGTGTTTAGAGGAGGAGATTTCAGTGTTTCAACAAGGAAGACAACTGACATACAGAAGAAGATGGAAAAAAAAACTAAAGTGAGGAAAGATAGAAAATAGAGTTTAAACAGTTTTGGTTTCAATACCAGCTTCTTAAATATGTAAACACAGTTCAAGATGAACTTAAAATACACAAAGAATTCCAGCTGATATTTGCACAGCCACGTGTTCAAGGCATCTTATATGTATTTGTGCAAGTTCTCATCTAAGTGACTGGGAACTAATATTTACATACATTTAAAAAATCTATATAGTCTGCTACAGTCTATCACACTATTGCTATTTAATGCATGATTGCACTTTTTCTTTTCTCTTCAGAGTCACAGTACTAAACAGGTATTTTTACATGCTGTACAATATAACACGTGTGGCTATCAGTGGCCAACGTTTCTTTATTTTTATGTTAAATCACAAACAGGTTGAGTGACTAAACAGTGAAACGGCCTAAGAGGAGTATTTTTCCAAGGTCTTGCACACCACACGTGCTTGTTGTAAGGTGAAGCTTTGCACATAATCACATGGGGTCACCAAACTGTGCCAATGAGAAGCAAAGGTTAAAGAAAGCTCAAATCACCCAGAGATCCTACAGCTAGCTTAGTGAAGCCTTTTAGCCTATTTTAGCTCTTTGTTTTGGTAATTCAGCCACATATTTATGCATTTTATGTTTATGTCTCAGCATTCTCATCCACCTCACTTCCAGCAGCATCAGGCATCTGTTTACTCCAAGGTCAGCTCTACCCACTGTGCTTTAACCCAACAGCCAATTTGACTAGCATTTAAAGAAAGCCACATCATGTCTAGACAGAAAGTGTTTCCCTGCACTTTTCAGTCCCCAGACTTACATGTCTGACAGAACAGATGAACCTTTATTTTGATCAGTCCAACTCTTTACACAAGTTGTTTAGCAACTCATATATTACTTTCACAACAAATCTCTAAATGTGACGCATAATATGATTTATTGTCTCTAAATAAACAAATGTTCCTGCATTTTACACATTTAAAAACTGTTTGTGTGTTGGGTTCTGTGTCCTGTCAAGCTGAGGTGCTTTCTAGATGGGACGATGATGTTGTACCACATCTGCTTAACAATTTTAAAAGGCCGTTATATTTCACTGCTGTCTCACTGTCTTCTTTCTTAGTTCTACCAGCATTTGGACAAATACAGCCACAAGAGACATAATCTGGTGCCATGAATAGAGCCTTTACAATACATAAATATTTTCAGTCAATGAAATGCACTTATAGTTTTTATATATAAAAAAAATAGAAACACAGTTGTAAACATAAAGAAAGAAAACAGTGAATCTTGTTTTTGCACATTACACATTGATGAAAGAAACTCAGAACCTGCTACATTGCATTAACATGCAGATGAAGTCATGGGACAAATTCTTTTATTAGAAATGAATGGACATCCATCAGAGATCAAGGCATTCAATAGTAAGTGGGATCCTTCCATTAAGGTTTGTAAACTGTAACTGTAACATTTTCTGTTTCATCGTAATGCCTTGTGAGGCGAGATGAAACGTAAATCTTTGGTTTTGTGGACGCAATACTTTTGACTTTCCTTAAAAAATATTATCTCGGTCTCTTTTTTAGTACAAGTTATGAAGTCGGGAATCTCTCCGTCAGCTTTGGGATTAAAAGGAAGCAGTTCACTCAGTACAGTTCCAGACTAAAAGGCAGCAAAAAGCTGAATGATGCTGTTTTTTTCTTTGCCAACAGTTAACGCCATCGCACTGACCAAATAAAGAACTCATAGGACATGGAGAGATAACGCAACATTGTCTCAGAGAACAAAGAAAACAGATGCAAAGGAAAAACGATGCCCACCGTGTGTATGTGTGTGTGTATAAGGTTGTGTGAGCTCAAAGGTGAATTGAAGTTGGTGTTGGCTACATACAGCAGAGCAGCTGGCAGATGGATGCGTGTGGAGCAAGTGGATGTTGATGAGCACCATGTTTATGTCAGACCGATTTCCTCCAGCACGCTGCGCGAGGTCTCTGCTTCCTGTGGAGGGAGAGGAACCAGAGCTCCAGTGAACCGCTCAGTGAGCTGCACGACACATTCCATTCAACTCAACACTGCAGACACAACACTGTGATGCCATGTTTTGTCTTATATAAAGTCATTACTATCTCGACAGCAGTAATGGTGAAGTCAAAGCTACATAAATCAACATTTTTTAAAATTCAGTTCTTTGTTAAACTACTATATGTAAGAGGTGGCCCATCCCAAGGCACATGTAACTTCATAGTTCACTTTACCCTCTGAACTTTAGATTAATGTTTGGGATGTGGTGCTGCAGTTGGAAGATGAGGTTACACTATATATACAATAATAATTACACAGTGAATCAAATCAAAGTGAGGAACCAATAGCTGTAGTTCAGTTCGCCATCCAAATTCTCTATTCATATTTGCATTAACAATTAGTTAGTTATTAATTTCTGTGAGAAAATGAATGTAATCTCTTTATTCTTGAGGCCCAATTGTGTAAAAACCATGGCCCAGTAGTGCCCCTAGTGATCAATAATTCCACAGGGCAACTTTAAAGCTGCATTTATCAATACTCTTCTATATGTATACATAGACATATAAAATTAAATGCATATTCAAGTGAATACATATAAATAAAAGGGGTGGCTTTTAGTAGGAAACCCACGTCTCTTTAGTTCAACTACAATATTTGGGCATTTTGTTCAGTAATTATCTGCATTAATTACTATTTTTTAGTCAGAACATGAGGATGGACAGATGATGTTAAATACACATCATCAACTGGCCTGTATTCATCCCCCAATTATTTGATATGTATTTCCTTTTATTTTGAGCTATGTTGTACTTCCATAAACAGAGAGACATTATTGTGGAGGAAATTATAAGAGCTGGTGGTTTTTGCAGAAAGAAAGAGAAGCACTTACTTTGGCATCCTACAACAAGGTTCAGCACAAAGTAAAGAGAAGAGTTGCATGAGAGCAGTGAGAAAGAAATCTTGCTTTATAATGGAGATGTAAAATTCATCCCTTTTACACAGTGACTTCAAAGTGTCGTTTCATTTTCACTGAAAATTCTCTCCATTCAGTGGTGAGGCCACAGAGTTTATTTCCCAAACAGAAGAAAACTGCAGAAAAACTACATCACTAGAGGTCAACTAAGACTGCAATAGGTTTACATCAAGGAAAGACACCAGTGTGCGTATGTGACAAAGAATCATAAACAATTTATTGATGATCCATCATGTACATTTATAAAATTAACCACAGCGGCCTATTGATATAATCCGTCCTCATGAGTTGGACACAGATGAACAATGACGGATCATTTAAAACATCTCAAGTGCTTAGTCAGTGTGCAATTATGACGGATCAGTCTAAGTGTAAGGCTAATTAATTTAATTATGTTTCAATGTCTACTAAGCCCTTGATTAATCTGTGCAAAGTGCAAATATTTATTTAGTATGAATCCCATTATTATTACTTACCTTGACAGTGACCTTCTTTCTATTTATCTAAATAGGACATAATCAGGGTCTATCAATTTAAAAGATATAAAGAATAACTCATCTTATCACTGTGAAGATATTCAAAAACTAGGTGATCTAGTGTTTGTACCACGGTCGGAGAGTTTGTTTCATACTTAAAGCTACAACAAATCCTACCAATCACAACACGGACAAAACTTAAAATTCAAATACATACTGTCTGATTAGAAGTTAGAATATATTAATAAAAAGACACAGAAATTGATAAACACATGTAAAATTCACTTCCCACCCCTGATGCGATGTGAATTCAGACGTAAAAACAAGACGGATGAGGGAAACTATGATGTGTAAAACCAAAAAGATTAACACCTCTTTGAAAAAAATAGTTACTCAAATGTTGAATCTGTGTTTAAATACGAATTCAGATGCTAATAAATTGTGATCTGGCCCTCAAGCATTTACATACTTACGAAGGTATAGTGCAGACTTAAACACAGACATTTTGTGCATCTGTACTACAACCTGTGCAACAGGGGGCAGACTTCCCCCACATATTCTGAGTGGTAATAACCCACTGAGTTATGTAGAGACCATCCATCATAACAAAATACTGGATATGATTTGTTCTTATTTTTATGATATTAATAGTGATCCAACAGTGCACAGATTTTCTTTAAAGTAAAAGAACCGCAGCTAAAATGTCCAAATAACAATAAAACCCACGAAGTGAAAAAGAGATGCAACTGAAGTCTGGTGTGTGGACCGTAAGTTAGAATCATGAGTCAAACTGCATACTTCAGGTTGTGATGGCACATGCTGCCCTGCTGGTGCAGTGAAACAAACAATAGGTTGAGTGATGACAGGCATAAAACAATATATCACGACAGAACATATGACTCATTACACATATATTGATGACTACTTCCACTATAACTGGTTCATATTATAATTACAATTACAAGACATTGACCCCCTCGTTCTTTCCGACAATCCGACCAATATGTGTTAATCAAAACTGTAGTTTTTAACTTACTTTAGATTTTGTGACAATACTGTATCATGACTGTCATGTATTGAATTGAACAGTGAACTGAGAGAACAACAGTGAAGATTATGACACCCCCCAAAACCAATGACAATGAGAGGTGCTCAGAGTGCAGAGAGAAAGGTGCCAGGCACTGAGGAGCTCAGCATGCAGGGTGGATAGCGGCAGCGGCGGCAGCAGCAGCAGCAGCAGCGGTGGCAGCCAATCAGTACACAGGCACATTAAAGTACTCATGACGGGGCTGGGGGAGAGAAATGCACACAGCTTAGAAAAGGCAAGAACATTGAGGCGAAACAACCACCTCATTCAGACACCTCATTCACAGGACATGCAGGAGACAGTACAACAGGCAGGAGGCGTCACTTGGTGACAGAAACAAACTGCTCAAAACTAGTTCTAGTTCTATTACATATGTTTACATTTCAGAGAAATGTGCCTGATCGCTTTCTTGTTGTGACATAAATCAGAGAAGACACGCCGCTGTCATGTCTGTACAGTATATACAAACAAGTAAATATGATGAGTGAGCCAGCAGGCAGTTAGCTAAGCTTAGCATAAAGTCTAGAAATAGGAGGGAACAGGTAAAAAGGTTAAAAAAAATCTCACCAACTAACACATGGAATCTTGTGTGTATAATCCATACGAGAATCGAAAGGTAAAAGTAACGTGTATGTACAGGGGGCTATGTGTAGGAACCATTTCTCAATTACTGGCTCTTTTCAGCATTTCTAGATCTCACTGTTTAGCAAATTATATACGGATACAAATGCTGCTATCTTGTGGCGCAGCGATCAGGGGATTGGAGCTGTGGTAGCAAGGTCCCATTCACACATGTGCTCGACCAATCATAAGTTAGCCTCACCTGTCGATCATGAAGTTTCACCACATTTTTATAGCACAATAACTAATAACCAAAATAAAAAAATGAACACTTGAACAAACATCAGTGTGATGACGTCCAAATCTGACAGAAATCTGTGAGATTTTTTTATGTGTACTTTGGTGCATGTCCCATCCAATGAGAGAAAGGAGGTGGATTTATGACCTATACTGCAGCCAGCCACCAGATGGCGACCAGGGTGCATTGGCTTCAATTTTAGGGAACAGTCATATTTTCCATCTAACAGTCTATGGCAGGAATAGAGACTCCTTTGGATTAATCAAAGAACACACAGCGTGTTTAATTTGTGAGCTTTTTTCAAAATCTCCTGACAGAGCCGAGCTAGTCGTCTCCCCCTGCTTCCAGTCGCTATGCTAAGCTACGCTAATTGTCCCTTGACTTCAGCTTCATATTTACCTTACAGATATATGAGTCATATTGTTAAAGGTAATAAAGACATTTCTCAAAAAGCATCTTATCTTGACTAAGATGCAAACATAATAAAAGTGAAAGATACATTTAGCTTTGAGTATTATAGTAGAAACAGTCTATGTTTGGCTTCACATGTAATCAGATAACAAATCTGATGGTATGGACAGTGTCAATGGAATGTTACACATACATGGAAAACAGAGACAACGAAGGAAGACATGGTTTGATACAAACATATATTGTTGGCTATGGAGAGACAGTTACTATCAACAAGAAACCACAGAACAAGAGTCACAACACGGTCTTAACCATCACGAACTGAGCTACAGACAGACTGATATACACAGCAAGAAGACTATAGGGCTGTTACAGGCACAGACGGCCTAAATCAGTCACAGACACAGATTAATCACCTCAGTGGGCCTAATTCTGGAAAAGACCAGAGGACTCAGAGGCCATATTTGGGACCATCACACCTGTGAGGCAAACATTTTTATGAGGACAAAAATAAACAGAATGAAGCACAACACTGTTCGAGTTGGATAAAGTCTAAATCTCACAGGAAACTACAGCACCGACAAATCTACAGTATGTGGTGTGGTCGGGGACCAGGAGATTAACTGTGCAACACCACAACAGTGCCCTCTTCATTTGGTCGTATCTGCTCATTTTATCTCCGATGTCTCTCACGCAGAGTTGAGCTGAGCAGGAAATCTTCAGAGGCATCATTATTCCAAAAGAAGATCAGCTCGCTGGCACCAAAGTAATGACCAGCTCCAGAGAAATGTTTCATTAAAGCCTTATTAAAATAGCTTCCACCAAATCCCCTGTGGTATGTTTTCCATGTAATTACTGCACTATGCACTTCTTAATTCCTTAAAGCACAAGGACCCAATTCCATATGTGCCCCTTCTCAACCCCTGCACTGGATTACCACATGACTTTTTATATCCACTAACTTATACGTTCTTAAAGATGACAATCATTTTTGTCCTCCCTCATGAAAATCACTGGAAAGTATTTGTGGATTTGCTTATTATATAATGAACCACTTATTTTAAAGTTGACAAAAATGATTGTGTCTGTCAATGGCAGAAGATAAAGTAGCAGAAAACATTTTGAATTTGATCTCCTGATCTCATGATTATAAAATGACCAAAATGAAAAGAGGCACTTTTTGCTTTGATTTCTAACTGGTGATAATCTTGATGTCAACAAATCCTTTAAAAAGACCAAAGCCAACAACGAGCTGATCGAAATCTGTGTAGATAATATCGGATATACAGGATCATTCCTCTGTGTTATCCCTAACCCCCAAAAGTTACATGTTCCTCCATTTACCATGAAAAAACACAATCAGCTGCCATAAATATTTGAGGTGTAGTTGGGCTGTGTAGTAATCCACAGCTGATAATAGTCCCCAATTTCAATTTGTTTAATCTTTGCTCATATGGGCTTATCTTAAATTAAACAGTGTCCATGTGGCCGCAGCAGAAACCATTGGGTGTGGGAACCAGTCTTGGAATGTAGAGTGTTGGTTTTTGGTCTTTTTATGGGATATGTTAAAAATACAACATTGAGAACAGAATTATATCTTAGTGTTGATTAGATGATGATTGTTTTCATTTTGGGTCAAAGGACACCATGTACAACAACCTGCAGAACCAATATTAGTTGTTCAGAAATGATTATATTATACCATTTAAAACAACATACATCATTAATCTGAGCAGTTTCATTCAGTGCTGTTAGTAAGACAACAGACTAGTCTTCACACAGGCAGCATAGTTTTCTCACTGTGAAAAACACTTTTCATGTTACAGTTTAGAATTAAAATGACAATTTAGTGTAACAGAAATTATTTTAAATTTAAAAAGTGACACCAAATGTTGGATGCTGCTGCCTGTAGGTGAAACTGAGTGTGTTCAGACATGTGGTTAACATTTCAGTTGAAGTTCATGCCTGTTGTGACCCTGGCGTTTTGTGTCCCTCAAAGTTATGAGACAGTCAACGTTCATGCAGATAAAAGTTCACGGCACGCAAAAACTGGAAACCCATGCTGACCGACAGACTGACAAAACCAGTCTCGTAGTTACCGGTTGCCTGGACGGAGGCATGGATGGACCCTAGGCCCATTACAAGATCTCCTCATTTGGCAAACTCCCCCAGTCTTCACTCTGGCTCTACAAATACAGAATTAAGCCAATCAGAGTCGTTTTCTCTCCGTCTAGGTAAACTTGGGCTCGCTCTCTGCAGGTTCTGACCCCACTTATTCCAAAGTGAGAATATGCACTTTTAAAATCTCTTCACGTCACACACTTAAAAAGAAAGTGGCTACATTAAGAACTTAGCAAAAGTCACTGATGTGAGGTGTGTTCTCTAAAGTTAATGTACTTGACGGTCCTGCTGACTGTAAATCAGAGAGCGGCTTCACAGTTTGTCCTCAGAGATTATGGACTTGGCTGGAAAGCACCTGCCTCACAGCTAATGTTTAGCTTTTCTAATAATACTTTACCTTATTGCTCATTTCATTAATTTAGGCCACTTTGAATTCCCACATTGTAAACATGAGTAAGATCTCTGTTTTTGTGAATATCAAATATCAATGACAGAGAAACAATATTTTTATATGCTTAGCCATAAAATATTCAATCAAACTGACAAGGTTTCAGATATGTTGATGACATATGTGAAAATCATCAGATGATGTAATAACTACTGGAAATGTAATTTTGTCTTTGTCACTAGAGCGTGACCAAAATATCAGTATTTCAATATTTTCAATCCATAATATTCTTATTTCAAATCTTCTTATTTCAATAAACTTGTTTTCAAACTTCCTCAGGTACATATTTTCGTCATTCAAAGCTAAATCTGTGGGATTGCTGTCAGAACCTTCCCCCAGAAATCCAATGTAGGCGGTTATCTACAGTTCACATCATTTTTCTCCACTAGACGTTGATGGGCTGTCAGCAGTGGCCTGGATTCGCTTCCCAGAACTCATTAGCGGTGGCCTTCTGGATAACTAACTGACTCAACGTTCAGCAAACAAGTCCAGCAGAACCCATTATCCTGCTGACACTGATTGGGTCGATACTAGACAACTATGTAAAACACAGTTAACATTAAAAGATGCCTTCAGTGGCTAATCCTATGAAATCATTTTGACAGTTTTGCATTCTCTATAGAGTAAATTAATGATTAACTATAATGTGAGCTATGATTAAGCTTCTGGTTTTAATGTGTGACATCATTGTGAAGGGTAGAAACACAGCTGTGGTTGTGAGCGGGGTTTTCTGCTGATCGTGCTAATGGTCAGAATCATAATTGCAGTGATGCTGTGGTTTTGCCACTTGCTGATTGTGCTCAGTCTATATGAAATGCTAATGTGGGCTGGGAGTGTTTGTGTGGTCCCTGCCATGCAGACAATGAAGCTTTGTTTCTGGGCTGCAACCTGAGCTCCCCTCACATCTGCCAGCAAACAGGGATAAAAAGTGTCAAGTTCCATTGAGACATTTTAGTGTTGCAGTTTGTTTTAGTTGAAAACAGCCTGTGTCCAGTGATTACTTTACATTTCTCAATTAGTAACAACACATCTTAGAAGAGAATTCAGTGATGATACTTTCAGTTTGTAAGAGTTTGACCAGCTTCTTTCTCACAGCTCCACTTATCCCTCACGTTAAAGTGACTGTAACACATGTATGTACCTCATGGTGATAATTAGGCACAACTATTCTCTGGTAAGAGAAACAACTTGTACCAGGAGATGTTTCATGTAGTTATGCCGCTGCAGGAGTTATCGGTTAGTGTCTAGTCTACACAGAGACATCAGGGACGAGGTTATTATAAAGCAGAAAAACACATACCAGCAACTTCAATATCTATGTGGCGCTCGTAACACTTGTAGTACTGCTGTTGCTGGTACATTGTTTACTCCTGGTTTTAGGATTGTGTTGGGGAATCTACAGTGAATCTAAAGCTACTGATGTAACACCACAGCCAGGGTAACTGGGGGTTTAACCAACTGTACCTGCAAACAGACGCATCTGAAAGTCTATATTCTGCAAATCACAATAGTAAGAGAGAAATATGTGAGCTGGAATCAGGACGAGGATCAAGCAAACTAAGTGGAAGAGAAACAAGCACTGTGAAGTCCATGGAATGAAAAATCACGAGAAATAAAAGGTCAAACATTTGTGAAAAAAGGACTTTAGAATTCAATGGAGTACCACACTGATGCAGCTCAGCTTCAGATGAAGGTAAGGATAGGAGTGGTGATCAGGAATCCAACAGTGAGAGTATAAGTGTATGAAAGAATTTCGACTGACCTCCTCCACTTGAAAAAAGAAGTGAGCGAAGACAAGAAGCTACACACAACATTCTTCTTCTAACACGAGGGTAAATCATGTAATTAAAGCTTATCTTTCACATAATCTTGCATTTTGAGTACTTTAATATTTTAAACCCTGCAGACATAAACTCCTAACTCGATGATTCATAACAACAAAAACATAAAATCATAAACCTGTATCCCCTTCCAGCCAAACAGCGCTTTTAAATTATATTTTTAATTCATGGTTGTCATTTTCACCAGTTATGTATCAGCATTAAGAAAATACCTCTCCATTCAGTAGTTTCATTTTTAGTGAAGGGGTCCATTATGACTCAGCATATTATCCAGTATTATTTGTAATTTAACTTAATTGTTCACTCTCTATAATCTTGAATGTGGTTTCAGTTGCTGCCAAATATTCATATGTTGATGTGTCACATTAAAAGCATTTATCTGGTTAATTTGTGCAAGCTCATCCACCTATTAATGTCTGCATACAAATCCTGAGAGGACAAGCTGTACATTCTTCACAAAAAGTGAAAACATAACAAAATATTTTTTTGATTGAGGTAGAAAAGTTTATGACAATTAAAAAAACAACATGCAACAAATTAATGAAGCTACCTTAAGAGTTAGGTAGCAGAACTGTACTCTTGTGAAATAAACTCATGACCCATTCCTCAATTCTTCCTTAGTCAACAGTCATAATGACGAGTGAGGGCAGATTACTAATTAAGTGGGAGAAAGTCATTAGTGTGTAAGTGTCATCATCACTCTCATTTGGATGTCTTACCTCCTGCAGCAGGTCAGCCTGCTCAATGGCCTTTAATACATTCTTCTTAGACGTCTCCTGAGCCTCCCCACCCAACAAGAATTCATCTAGAATGAAGTAGGCCTTCTCAAAGTTGAAAATGATGTCCAACTCACAAACCTGTGGGTCAAAAAATACATATCAATACATAGAAACATTGGATTTCTGCAGGTTTCCACAAGCTAAATTCAAGACTTTTAAACACCATAATGAAAGAAATGTAAGTATGACAGACATGACGGAATATCATAGTCCAATAATTACTCACACTTTCCCATAATTAAAGATAAAGAGAAGTAGCTCAGTAGAGAATAACCCATTAAACGTATCTCACAAATTACAAGCAGGGACGGTGGGTATTTTGTTCAAATGCACAGAGAAATGGAGGTCGAACATATGATGACCCATTGTGTGAATATACAAAATATATAATTAATAAGAGGGAACGCACACTGCCAAAGTATTTATCCAGCAGCTCCACATATCTGTGAATTATCTCCAGTGTGATGAGCTCATTGTCCTGGTCCTCGATGGCACAGCAGAAGTACAAACTGGCGTATCTGTAACAGAAAGACGTGACATTTAAATCTGACATTCAAAACAGTAACAAAATAACAGCATTTAAAAAGCATCGTTTAAAATCCTAACATTAACCCGACACTGTGAGAATAAGAGGAGCTGACTTCATGCATTTTTATTATAGGCTCTCCAAGTGATAAATATACTGTCTCCCAGCTCACTGGAAATGTGCTGAGAGAACAGCTCTGTTGTTATTAGAAAGGACTGACTGATGTTTACTGTGCACCGGGTATTCATTTAAAAAGCCAGGAGCTGGATGCAGAAGGCTGCATCAGTTAAGCCTCATTCTGCTATGGTTCTTTATCCCTTTTAATCCCTAAGGCTCCTTAAGCATGTGATGATTGGCTAATAAAGGAGCTGGTCAGTTGATCCCTCACAAGCAGCGGGTCAGGAGGACACACTGGACCAAGCAGAAGATTTTTAGAAAGACGGCACAAAGGAGCAAGTCTCAAACTCAACAAAGATGGAACTTGTTGGCGTTATTGATTCCAGATATTTGATCAATAACCCTTCTTTGTCTCATGGTCCACTCCGTCCTTGTGAGCTGTTTGTGCAAGTTACTGCAAGGCACAGCCAAGCTCATGAAACAATGAAGTCAGTTGTTTAATTGTCTATGAAACAGCAGTTGTACTGAAGCTGACACACAGAATGAACTAGCAATCATGGCATCAGGCTGTTACAGGGTCAAACCTTTTAGAACAAATGCATACATAGCTCTGAAATACACTGTAGACACTGTAAATAGAAACTGTGTCTATGTTTTTGTCCATATAACATGTTTTATTACATATTTGATAGTAATTTGAACATATTTGCATATTTAGGGTTTGATAAAAAAAGAAATCTAAATGCATCTCGGGCTGTGGGGAATTATTTCAGGCATTTTTCCCCTATTTTCTGACATTTCAGAGAAAAAACAGATTGATTGGTTATTTGAGAAAATATTCATTGCTTGCAACCAGAGGCATCCTGTATGTTTTCATTAGGATTACTACATCTGCGTGTGCTCTGCTTCAACATGATGAAAGGCTGTATGTTGAAATGTTACTTACTATACTCTTGCCTAACTGTGTGCTCCAGATCTCATGTTTCCAGATTCCATTTAGCTTTTTATATTTCATATTGTGTAATTTTACACCATAAACAGCCTAAATATCATAAAGCAGCAATGGTTATTGTCTTTACTGCATCAAAACAAATTTCCATTGGGTGCTCTGAGGCTCATTTAGCTGTGGTGGAGGCTATTTATTATTTTTAGTTCTTCTCACTGAGGTTAAAATAAAATAGAATCAAACAATTAAAAAGGATTTCCCTGTTGCCCTTGACATCTACATAAAATCATAATGTATGAACCAGTATGGAAAAATAAAACATGCTCTTGGACTATGTTCAACTTCAGTAAAAGCATTTCTCATTTCTGAAACAGAACAATCATATCAGGACTAAGACAGTTGTTTACAGCAGCTCTCCTCTGACATGTGAGCACGTTGGACTTTCTGTCTTCATTAACAGTTGGAAAGACGAGAGCTTCTCAAAACTATAAAAATAAAGACATATTCAAACCGCTGCAGTAAAACTAAATCCAAAGGCAGCAACCCTAATCACACTTTTATGTCTTAATGTAATGTAATGAGTCAATTTAGCTGTTTTCATTTAATAACAATAAAAAGGGCAAAGTCAACTATAAACTATTCACATTAAAGAGGTTAACAAACATGTGTCTGGTTGAGCAATAGTGCAAAGTCACTGGTGGGTCAGCGCGTGGACTGCTGTGTTTGTTTACCTGTCCACTGCAAAACAACTATAAAGTGAAAATTGTATTTTTCTTATTGTACATGATGCCTTCATATTCTTTGGTGACATACTTCTGATTGTCCAACAGAGCCAAGTCTGTGAATGACAGGTCTATGACTTGCCAAGGGAAGTGTGAAAACTGTTCTGTGACCATTCAACCAGAAAACACATTTTATTCAAATTCAAGTCCAGTTTCTACGCACCTCTTGTATACAATCTTCAGGTCTCTCCACTCTAGGAAGCTGCACATTTTGGGCTTTCGAGCCAGGACCGTCTGCACCAACTCTCTGGTGATCTTCTTCTTCTCCTTATCAGACAAAGGCACGTACCATTTCTGAAGCCTGAGCTTTCCTTGTCGACTGAACAGAAGCATGAACTGCATCTGAAATTAAGACATGGGGAGAAGAAAAAAACAACAGATGAGCTGTGAAACACAATGAGAGACAAGAGGAAGGAGTGGGTGGTTTAAGATATCCACAAAAAGATTCAAAAAGCATTCGGAAGAAAACATCCAACTACTGTGACGCCAGACGTGGGAATTTGAAGTCAAGAAGATTCTGACACGTTAAGACAAACCAAAGAAAATATTACTGATTGATATGTGAGAGTTAGGTTAATCCAGGTCTGGAAATGACTTGAGCTATTATCCTGTACAATATTCATCTCTGCGGAGGTTATATTTTCACCCCTGTCCATTTGTATGTGTTTTGTTTGTTTGTTGTGAGTAAAATATGTGTAGTATGGGTCAGGGAAATTTGTTGTGGATCCGGATCAGTAGACAGATCCAGAATTTCTTCCTTAACAATGCGAGATAGGGTGTTTCTCTACATTTTCACCATTTCCCCAGGGAATAATTTATGGGTCCTGGTGAAAAATGTTTGGGAACTGATATCTATGAGTGTGTGAATGATTTTGGTGCAGCTTGATTGATATTAAGGCGAGTGTTAGACCTGGCCGGTAGAATGCCCTCAGTTATCAGTTTATTAGGTACATGTAGGTATGTAATGTAATGCAGACCTGCTGTGTGTCCTCCTTCATGAGGCCTACAAGGTTCAGCTTTTAATTGAAACTGGAGGCTGTTTAGTTTAGTCCAGTATATTACACACAACATCAACACTAAATACATAAATATAATATAATAAAAGTAATCAGGGTGTGGAAAACTTGTCGTGGCTTATATGAAAAATCACACCCATAAGATTAACAGAAAATAACATAGTCACAGATACAGGTTATATTCTTGTAGACATATTAGTATAACATGGACATATTTGGTATATATACATATGAGTTTGTGATGTTGTTGATTTGTATCACACAATATAAAGTGGAGTTTCTGTTACAGAACCTGTCATCACTGACTTCAACGTGTTGGAGTTAATAGTAAAGACACCTGTCACAGTAAAGTTGAATCAGCGTGTGTCTAAGGTGAAAACTAACCGTGATGAAGGGAGGATTCATTACAGGCCTGTTGTACTGACCACACAAGCTCACCAGGAATGTGAATAATAACAATAACAATGATAATATCAGAACCAAAGAGTTGTGTGTCAGATGTGTCTGTGTTGTCGTGTGTGAGGGATAAAGAACCAGTTTTACTTCAGGTTTAAAACTCCGCCTTCAGAACAGATGACCAGAGGAAACATGTTGTAACTTCTCGCTTCGATCAAAACAAACAGGAACGGTTTTTAATGAACAATTCAAAATGACAGTATCACCTCGTCCTCACCACAATTCTCCTTTACACCGTTATTCAGCGCCTAGCATTAGCCTCTTCAGCTAGCGACCAGAGCGCGGAGAACACCGCATGACACACACGTGTACACGGGTATCAGAGTAAAACATGACACAAAGTAAAAAGTACTTACCTTGAGTACCAACACAGTATTCCTCTGTAAAGATGTGAGCCACCACCCGAACCAGCACCAGGCACCAGACCCCTGATTGGACACACATGCGCTCGTGTTGCTGTTCATTGGCTGACGGGGTTCCGAATGGTCACGCCCCTTTCAACGCTTTAACTCGACATCGCGGGTGTGATAGGCTGGTATACACGTCAATCAAGCCTCGAGCGGCTCGACGGGTGCCGCCCCTCCGAAACGTCGTGAGCTGAATGAAATAAATAAAGATAATAAAAGTAGGAGAGAATTGAATTTCTTCATAGAGACATAAAGAAAAGAAGAGAGAGCACTGAGTTATTCCCTGTGAGCCTGGATTCAAGTTTCTGATCATTCATCATGATTGAATATTTCATTTCTCAATTATTAATTTACCTTGTTTTTATTTTTATTTCACCAACACTACATTTTGATTGGTTCATATTTAGTTTGTAACCTGTAACATGTGACTGGGTTGTTTTTTCATGGCTGATTATCTTCATATTCTGTATGTTTCAGCAAATAAACTGACTGAATGGAATAAAAAAAGATGTGTTGACAGTGGACAACATGGAGATAAGTATGTAGGTATATAGTTGGTTTATAGGTAGGCAGGTATATTATTGATCCTGGAGGAAAAGGGTTGTCATCAGTAAAATATAACTTAAGTGAGGAAAACAGAACCTTAAACCAATACCACACACATTGTGCACAGGTAAACGTGCAGCACCATTACCACGCTGCTACCTTAAGTGAAACATGATATGATGAAGGTATTTGTCTAAAGGTCAAATTGGTGGAGACATTGCAATGCAGGTACCTGTGATTAATCCCGCTTGATTTGCATTTGATCAAAATACAGCAGAGTTCTATGAACAATCACCTTCATCCACGTCTCATTGCACTGGCTATCTGTCACGCTCAGAATTGATTTCAACATTGTTTTGTTTTTTCCAGATTTGAAATCTCTTCCTGGCATTACCCCCTCTTATATCACTGACCTTCTAATCCCATACCTACCTGCTCGTGATCTCAGATCTGCAGATCAACTGTTGCTCTTGGTTCCCAGGGTAAGACAGGAAACTGAGGGCGGTAGAACTTTTTCTGTAAGGGCCCCACGATTATAGAATAACCTTCCACTGGGAATCTGCCTCATTGTCCTCTACGAAATCTATTTTAAAGACTCATTGTGATAATATGTTTTTTACCTAGATTTCTTGTGTCTTTGTGTATGTCATTAATCTGTTCCTACGTTTCTAAACACTGTGTAAACTTGTTTTTGTAAAGAGCTATTCATAAAAAGTTTTATTATTATTATTTAACTGAAGGAAGACTCTGCCCTGGTGACAGATGCAGTCCCACTTCTTATGCAACATTTTGATCGCCTGCTTCCCTCACCAGGTTCAGCTGGTGAGTTCCCTGCTTGTGTGAATCATCCAGGACCAGAGCGAATCTCAATGTGATGGTGTTCAACACAGGTGCAGTACAATGTAGCAGCCTAAGGGAGGTGTCTGAGGGCCAATAAAGAGTATTAGATAAGGCCATCACAGGCCTGTGGATTACAGTAATCCTATCCACCAGTGTTGGGTATCACACAAACTACATTCCAGTATAGATGAAGAGGAAGATGGAGGTTACTGCTCGTGCTGCTGTGCTGTTCCTCCTGCTCATATCTCAGGGTAAGTCACTGTGCACTTGCATGAGGGATAAAATGAAATGATATACTGAACCTACCTTAAAAAAAATTACAATTACAGTTCTGAAAGAAGTTATCATATTAAGTAAATACATATTTTTGCTGAAATTAAATCAGAAATTTAAGATTCCTTTTTTATGAGGAGGCTTCATAATAGTGTTAAATGAACAATTAAGTGTTTTTATTTGTATTTGTTTATAGTTTTTGTTCCCACCAATGCAGGCTTCTTAATACAAATCATGCAGAATGAAATATTAGTCTCAGTCACGTGAACCACAACCCCGACCCATGCATTTATGTTCCAAAGTGTAGTATTAAAGTTACTTCCACTTCATTTTGTCTAAAGTTTGTCTCGAGCTTCTCACTTCATGTCACCATCTGCTTCTACATTTCATGCATCTGTTGATGTGATGCAGCCCTAAGAACTGTTCACTCACAGGAGGTAGGAGCCCATTAATAAACCATTATTATTATAATAAATGATTCTGAAATGTCTTTGTCCCTGAGTGTGAGAGCGGGTCTGAGAGTGTTAACTGTGTGTCCTTCAGGAGGAGGAGGTTGTCCAGGAGGAGGAGCTGCAGGAGGAGGACCAGCAGGTGATCGAAACATGGACGAGCAACGTCAAGTCCTGCACCTGTGACTGTGAGTCTGCTGACTCACCCACACTCACCCCCAGGGTCATCCAACCTGTGCCGCCCACGTCCCTGCCACCGCCACCTCAGGGCCACCCACTGAACTGCATGCCAGGTGAGGACTCCACCTGTGTCACCTGACCTAGATTCTATTGTAATCCCGTTAGTCACACTCACGTGATGTTGGATGTCCTTAATCAACCACGTTTTTCTTTAAAAAGTGATAAATGGGATTCAAATGATGCGAAGGACACTGACGTGTAAAGATTAATAGTAGGCAGCTGCTGTGTGTGTGTGTGAGTCTGCGGGCACACACAAAGCTCCAGATGGGTGTGATGGATCACACAGATGATAGCGGTGGCTGTGTGCACTCAGCAAAAATCTTGGCTCTGCATCTATGCTGCGATGCACAATCACCTCCTATATGATCCCAACATTTTTCTACCTTATTCTCTACTTCAGGTTAAAAAGGTTTGGATCTGATTCACATAAAGATGAGAACAGGTTGAGATTAAGAGATGCTCAACTGTGAAGAAGAGGCCGGGGATGTCAAATACTGTTAGACAATCTTATTACCTGTGCAGGAATGTGATGAGCAGATTAGGGAGCCCAAAGTAGGGAGTGTCCTGTACCTAATAGCATGATGCTGGGAGAAGCAGCACACATCAGATGATGTGCTGCTGCCTAATCACGCAAGCCTCACAGGGTCACGTTTTACTGTGAGCTATGTCGATCGAGACAGAGTTTGTAGTCATCAGAAGACTTTCATGTTTTATAAGGCTTTGTGAACTGTATCTGATTCATATTTGTATTTGAACACTCCAAAGAATGCCCCTACCACAGACCTCTGGGATTTGAATCTGGATCTGTAACATTAGACCAGATCAGCTGCTCCAGTCAGGACCAGTACACCGGCTGGTACTCCTCCTGGATCCCCGACAAGGCCCGCCTGAACAACCAAGGCTTTGGGTGAGCCCCCTGTCACCTCCACTTCACACGACACTAGTAAACAGCCCTTATTGTGAGTATGATACATGACCTTTTTGTCAGGTGTGCGTGGCTGTCAAAGTTCAATGACCAGTACCAGTGGATCCAGATTGATCTGCAGAATGTGGGGGTGGTGTCTGGTATCCTCACCCAGGGCCGCTGCGACGCTGATGAGTGGATTACTAAATACAGCATCCAGTATCGCACAGTGGACACTCTGAACTGGATCTATTACAAAGACCAGACGGGAAACAACAGGGTAAATACATCAAGTAGTAGCCAGTTAGGAATGAAGACCTTTCGTACAACAAAAGCAGATACATTGCTTATTCTGCCAGGCAGCATTAATAACATCCCCACCTTTGTGAAATGAAGCTTTGCATTAGTTCATGCAGGACACAGAAGACACACTAATCACAGCCATTGTCACATCAAGGCGGTTCATTTAGATACGAGGCCTCCTCACGGATCCTTGCTTCACTACTGCTGCTGACAACACTGCTGCTGTCCCCCCTCCACCTTCTTAGCTTAAAGTCTTAACCAGCTCAAATGTTGAAATTGTTACTTCATGTCTTGCTTTGGGCTCATATTCATTTTTTGTGTGCACTCCATGTTTAGCCAGAGAGCTTAATCACAAGTGGAGCCATCAGCACCAAGCCTAACAAGTGTCACTGACTAAAACAGTTTTATGAGGAAAAGGAGCATACGTTCAGTTTTATCAACATCCATTCATTCATAGATGCTGCTTCAGTGAAACATCTCTTCACTGTTACTGCAAACTTTTCACTGACTGTCGCACCACTTTGCTGTCAAAACTTTACACAGGGACACAGACCATGTGAGCTGTAGCTCATCATAGGAAACACCAAACTTGTAAGCTAATTATTTTCCTGTAAAAATGACAAAGGATCTTAAAGACAGCAGTTTGCATAAATAGAAACAAACATGCATGTGAGCTGTTTTCACAACTGAACCTGAACTCGAGGCATTGTTTTAACAAGCCACTTTATATTGAGACAGCAGGAATGAGCCACCAGAGAATATTTGATTTGTCCAGGAGTTCAAGGTCAATAAACCAAACACTCTCTATCTGTCTCACCAGCTCTGATCATAACAAGACCTCCGAGAACAATATACAATGATGATCAATACATTTTGAAAAGCCTGTGTCCTCATATATATTTTCCCAGTAAACACACATCAACATAATAGTTCTTTGTTAAATTCAGAAATAATTGTCTTCAATGATATTTTGAATGGAGCCCCAAATGTTCAATATTATATGTAATAAAAATACACAGGCAGATGAAGCAACAAATTGTGAAATCGTTTAAAAAGCCATTTATATATTGTACAAATTACCATTTATTTCACAATGTCTCATTCATTATCTAAATATTGAACACTTTTGATCATGTTTATTTTCTGTAAATTAACTGATTGGTTCCAGTATATGAAAATTAAATTAAGTAGTTTTACTGTTGTTCACTGAGTAAAAATACAAGGACCTCCCTTCAGTGTGGCTGTTTCTATACAGTGATGTTGGTTCTACATCCAGTATTATTATGTATTGTGTTCTCATGCTGTTTCTCTCCAGGTTTTCTATGGGAATGCTGACCGATCCTCCACCGTGCAGAACCTGCTGCGTCCACCCATCGTGGCCCGCTACATCCGCCTGCTGCCACTGGGCTGGCACACCCGCATCGCCATGAGGATGGAGCTGTTGATGTGCATGAACAAGTGCACCTGAAGTGTGCTCGGCCCGTTTCCTCCTCACCGTCCACCCCTCCCCTGCCAACAAGCCGCTTGCCAAACGGGGGACATTGTCTTTCTCTGGTGAGGCTCAAGGTGGACAGGTTTATTGTACTTTGATGCACTGTTTCATCCGTCTTAAAATCTATAAAATCTTTGAATCTTTGAAAAAATTGTGGTGATTCCATAAGCTACAGGAGTAAGAACAGATTTGTAAGAACAGTAACAGATTCGATCACTTCTTTAAAAACCAGAATCAAACACTACTTTGAAAATAGTCACAAACAAGAGTCAAATCAAATGAGCTTGTTTTATTTGAGATTTACTGTTACATTTGTAAACATGGATATTCTAAAATTGTTAAGCATTCATTTGTGGGTTTACGTTCTCATGTAAATGCTCTGTTGAAAATAAAAGGCAAATAAACACTGACTATGCTACTCATTTGTGTCTGTAATAAAAGCACAAACTGAATACTTGATCTTCTGTTATAAATATTACCAAACAAGTAGTCACACATCAGTATTAATATAATACACAGTGCTCCTTCAGCAAAACAACTATCCAAAGAGTGAGACGTATCGTGTCAAGAATGGAGTGTGCCCAGTCTTTACAGATGCACAACACACAATACGGTACGGTGGTGTTCGGACTCGGCGTGTCACTGTGGGAGGCTGCTGCCCCGCTTTTCAGTCCTCGCACACTGTGCATGGGATGAACATGAACTGAGGAAGAATTTACAGTGTCACAGCAAAACTGCTGAGCCACACAGTCTCTTCAAAGTGCAACATTAAGAAGTTTAAGATTGATTTCAGCCAAGCTACGTTCATGGCACTTAATCTGACAGAAAAACGATGGAACAGCACGGAGCTTCTGCTGCCAGCGTGGATCCATTTAAAGATTTCTTAAAGGCTCGTCCCCAGCGTCTCAGTGTGTGCAGTCAGTTATAAACACAGTAGTATAGTGACTCTACACCAGGTGTACAAGTAGAACCAGGGGGGACCTCTGCAGTTGCAAGGGGGAAACATGGTAAGATGGTAGAGTGGCTGAACTAAAGCAAATAACCCACATACTGAGTCAGCAGTAACACCTGAACAGAATAAGTGTGTGAAAAGCTAAAAGCACTGGATAGATGAAAATATAATATAATGAAAATTAAATGTATAGAAAGTTTTTAGCTAAATATAATAAACAAAGCTAAAAAAGAAATTAGACTAAATGAGAAACGGATAAAACAGTAACAGACAAATGGTTGAAAAATCCATCTTATGCCAGAACAAGTGGTAACAGCATGTAAACTTGAACAGAGTGCGATGGCATGAAAAATTGTAACAGTAAATGTTAAATGACATCCAGTTTAAAATGAACACATTTGGAACTGCAGAGGTGCTGGAGTTTATGTGACAGGTTTGTGGGGGAACCTCATGTAGGGAACCACTGCACTAGAACGTCCACATGGCTTTTATATTCCTCTCACTGCTGTAAAATATTACTGACCAACAATAATTAGAAAGAAAACACTATTCAAATTCTTACAGACAAAAATTCCAGCAGTTAAACTTGATATAATATTTGTTTATTATACTGATTAAACGATTGAAACCACTTGGAAGTAGCTTTTGTGAAATCTGTAACAGACTTTCCTGAATCCTGGTCGTGAGTGCAGTTAACAGAGGAAATCACAAGTTAACTTGAGATGTGTGAAGCAAAGCAAAGGATAAAGGTTTTATTACTGTGGGTGCTTCATTACACATACATGAACTTCTCAGTAAACACCTGTAGATTACTAAAAGGATCTTCGGTATAGTCTGCATAAGGAACAGTTATTTAAGACTGTTCGGTTTGAAATGACGTCTAGCCATAGTTCTAACTGTATATTTGTTTAGAATATATACGGAAGTGATGACTTACACTTCATATACATGAAAAGAAAGTATAGAAATGTTAGTGCGTGGTAATCTGTCTGACAGTGAGTGCAGTGCTTCATTGTGTCCTACAGAGGGCGGTGCTAGGTTAGGATTTCTGCTAGTTTATGGCACCGAAGTGTCTAAAATGGCTGCGTTTCAAAAAAGGACATAAAAACCTAAATATCCTCAAAAAGAACAGAGATTTTTGGTGCCAACTCCAAAAACTACACTGCAGCTGTGTTTTTTAACAACGAGCATGATGGATCTGAGCATGTCCAGTATAAGAGAGCACATCTAACGTGGAGACAGCTCAGACAGAGTCACAGTCCTGAATGAGATGAACACTGATATTACTGACATTACCCATCTCTAATGTAACAACTGAGAAAATTCATTTGTTTAAAATGCTTTAGATAGTCTTAAGGAAATACTACGCAGTAAAAT